TATTTTTGTTGCTTATTGTTTATTTTCGTTTCGTTCATATCAAATCAGATCAAATCAGATATTATTAGATCATATAAAAAAATTCGGATCAGATCACTTCAAATAGATTTAGATCATAAAGATATAGATAAGATCAAATCAAATCAGATGAAAAAAGTTCAAACATGATTCATTACTTTTATTGTTATTATTATCATTTCATTATTATTAGTTTTATTATTATTATTATTATTATTATTATTATTATTATTATTATTATTATTATTATTATTATCAATATGATTACTATTATTTCTTATTGTTGTTTTTATTTATATTATCATAAATGTAAAAGCGTAAGTTCTGGTTAATAATTTTTGAAAAAATAATAACATTATTAAACTATATTATTAAGATGAAAAATCAATTTTATGTAAATTTATATCTTCTCATATAAAAAAAATCAATTTTATGTAAATTTATATCTTCTCATATTTAAGTCCATTCGAAAATTAAAAGCATAAGTTCTTGTTATTATTATTTGAAATCATATTCTTATATTCTCATAGGGTATTTGGGAACGATCCTTAGCTGGCTCCGATTACGGGCAAAAAGAGGTCTCACTTTTTTTAATCATTTGTTATGGAAAAAATATACATAAAGTTTATGTGCAATTTCAAACAACTCAAATATACTAATCATTGACATTCCATTATGTTAACCTTATCAGAATAACTTTGGGCATCATCCCTTCGCGCATCGCGCGTTGTACCACTAGTATATATATATAGAGGAATGTTCAGGTCCGATTCGTCCGAACATTCCTGGTCTGAACACCGTCCGAACTTGCCCGTTTGGGGACCTTCCCGGTGGAATTTTTTGATGAAATTTTTTGAGCATGTTCCTCATCAAGTCTAGTTTGTCCATACCAAATTTCAGCTCAAAATTCGATCGAGAAGGCATTCAAATCATTTTGTGAAGTTTACTGCGGTTTTTATATGTATATTTTGATGCAGTCAACTTCAAAAAATTATTTGAATGCCTTCCCGATCGAATTTTGAGCTGAAATTTGGTATGGACAAACTAGACTTGATGAGGAACATGCTCAAAACATTTCATCAAAAAGTTCCACCGGGAAGGGCCCCAAACGGGCAAGTTCGGACGGTGTTCGGACCAGGCCAGAATGTTCGGACCTGAACATTCCTCTCTCTCTCTCTCTCTCTCTCTCTCTCTCTCTCTCTATATATATATATATATATATATATATATATATATATATATATATATATATTACGATAGTATGTACACACTTCAAATATTACGAGAAAACATACCTTTGATCACCAAACTTTGCGAACAATTCGACGACTTCGGGCGGCCGTAGTGATGTATCTATACAGTTTCCAGAAACGTCTCTGTGTCAATCATGAATGTGAGGTTATCAGTATAACCACAAATGGTGTAAGAATGATACCACTCTAAATTTGACTTCATCTTGGGACAATTGTAGTATTATATTTTAATAACAAAAAATAAAAATCATGAGTTCTTAGCTAATTTTGGATGCTAACTCAGATAGTTAAATTAGATACAAAAGATAACTAGAATTTTTATATGGAATCAGAAACAATGGCAAAATGATACACCTGTAGTTAATTTATACGTAGTACATAGCACGTTACTCGATAATATTAGTCCTAGTTCTATTATTCTCTTAAGAAGTTGATTGTTTGTATTTAAAAATGTGCATATGAACTTAGTTACCGGACTTAGAATCAGATGATGTACCTGATCCGAAACTGGCACTAAATAAACCTATTGCGTACTTAAAATAACTAGACTATAACCGGACTACAATTGACTCAAGTCTATCCTCCTGAAAAATCTTCCAAGTCTGCAACTACTAGTAAGTAGTAACATTATAGAAGGGAAAGTATGTGTAACATGAGATTGATGTATTGATTGGGCATACATTTCACATAATTACATGTAAGACTATGACCTAATTTAATTGTGACAACCGACCGCAAAAATGAATGCGTTTTTTATGAATTGGAATAAGGTAGATTCTATGGTACCCATTGTTGGAATTTCACTCCTAGTTGCAAGGTAATGGCTCCTAGTTTAGAATTAATTGATGTTTTTTTAATCATTATTTTTCTGTTGCACCCAAGCCTGTTTGCGTGGGACTGCTGGGCAGATTTTATCTCTTCCAAACTTGATTATTTACAAAACTTATCTGATTTTGAATAAGTCCCAATAGTTATCTATTCCAATTCCCACTTCCTTATTTTTAGGCTTTCTTCTCTCTGAGTTTAGTAAAGCACGATTGAGTTTTCTGGCTATAAAAGGAAGACATCTTGATGAATTCATACACAGAAAAAAGGATCCCTATCCTTGCTTTCTAAAATATTCTTTGATCTTAACAAAAGTTTCCAGGCAATTGTAGTGTGTGAGTTCCAAGTCTTTTCAGACGAGTGCACGTCTGCGAAGGCTGGTTGCGTTAACCTTGGGGAGCGAACCGCAACAGTCGATTGCACCCCGGTCGTGCCGGATTTCGCTTTCAAGGCAGTGGCTCTTCTTACCACGGCGCAATTTCTTATAATCTTCCGATAAGTATTTTCTGTTCAGTTTACTTTCAGTCATTCATTTTTCTTACAATTTGAAAGCGAAAGGCATATTACTGCTAGTAAACTGAAAAATGGCATTTCCTCAATCAAAAATTGTTTTTGATATGTCTAAGATGGATCAACTTGATGGTACTAACTATAAAAGGTGGACTCAGAAGCTTTTAATCTTTTTTGAGCAATTGGAGGTCGATTATGTTTTGTTCTGTGAACCCCCTGTGGAGACTCCAAGAAGCCCAAAAACCCCTGCATCTGGCGTGGTTACACCTGCAGGTGATCTGTCTGGAAAGAGTGAATCTGCTGAGAACAAGCTGATGTTTGAAAAGGACAATCGAACGGTCAGGGGGCATATTCTTCACCACATGACCAACTCGTTGTTTGATCTTTTCATTGGTTACAAATCTGCTAAGGAGATCTGGGACATGCTGGAGAAGAGGTATGGTGGTGATGATGCTGGAAAGAAGAAGTACATAGTGGGAAACTGGCTTGATTTTCAGCTTGATGATCATAAACCAATTATGGAGCAAGTCCACAAATACGAGAATCTGGTGGCTGACATCTTGAGCGAAGGATTGAAAATGTGTGAAGTGCTGCAAGCCAATGTACTGCTAGAAAAATTTCCCAAGTCCTGGAGCGACTATCGTGCAAAACTTAAACACAAGAAGAAGGATATGTCTCTCCAGGAGCTTATCAGCCACATACGGACTGAAGAGGCTAATCGTCTCAAAGATAAGGCTTCTACTTTATCTAGTATTTCTGTTAAAGCTAATCTTGTTGAACCTTCTGGTGCTCAAAAGAACAGGTACAAGCATAACAACAAGAAGGAATCACATCAGAAAAGGTTTCCCACAAATAAGGGAGTTGGGCAGATTCACAAAGCCAAGGCTTTGTGCTATGTTTGCGATAAACCTGGTCATAAGGCGTACAAATGCAAAAATCGAAAAGGCCCACAGAACGGGAATAAAAAACATGCTGATACGCCCACTCCTCAATTCAACCTTGCTGAAAACGATGACATTATCGCTGCGGTGGTTGTTGAGGCAAATCTGGTGGAGGATAAAGTCACCTGGATACTAGATATTGGAGCTTCCCGACACTTCTGTACAAACAAGGAGCTGTTTCACCAATTCGAAGATGCTGAAGATGGAGAGCATGTCTACATGGGAAACTCCGCAACTGCTGGAGTTTTGGGTAAAGGGAAAGTTCTACTTAAACTTACCTCTGGAAAAACCTTAGCATTGAGTGATGTCCTGTATGTCCCCTCCCTTCGTAGAAATCTGATTTCTGGTGCTTTGTTAAATCGGGTGGGTTTAAAAATTGTGCTTGAGTCTAATAAGGTTGTAATCACCAAAAATGGGGATTTTGTGGGAAAGGGGTACCTAGCTGATGGTCTCTTTGTTCTTAGCACGGTTTCAGATAATGCAAAATCATCACCCTCTTTTGCTTACATGGCTGAATCTGTGAATGTGTGGCATGGTAGGCTTGGTCATGTTAACTTTGGGTCATTGAAAAAACTCAGAAACATGCACCTGATAAATGTGAATAATACAACCGAGCACTCTAAATGTCAAATATGTGTTGAGGCCAAACATGCTAGAAAACCTTTTAAAGAAATCACAACTAGACAAACAGAGTTGTTGGAATTAATCCACTCTGACCTGGCAGACTTTAAGAACACAGAAAGTAGAGGAGGCAAAAGATACTATATGACTTTCATTGATGACTTTTCGAGATATGCCAAAGTTTATCTTTTAAGGTCTAAAGATGAGGCTGGAGAAATGTTTATGAAATATAAAGCAGAGGTTGAGAATCAGTTAGATAGAAAAATCAAAAGACTTTGCTCTGACAGGGGAGGTGAATATAACATTAATTTCCTTAAAGAATTTTGTGAAAAACATGGTATAATACATGAGAGTAGTGCCCCTTATACCCCCCAACAGAATGGTATAGCCGAGAGGAAAAATCGTACTCTAAAGGATATGATGAATTCTATGTTATTAAGTGCTGGTTTATCTGATAATTTATGGGGTGAAGCTGTACTTTCTGCTTGTTATATTCTGAATAAAGTACCTCATAAAAGGATTGAAAAAACCCCCTATGAATTGTGGAAAGGGTATTCCCCTAATCTTAATTACTTAAGAGTGTGGGGGTGTCTTGCTAAGGTTGGCTTCCCTGATTTTAAAAGAACAAACATTGGGCCTAAAACTTTTGATTGTGTGTTTATTGGTTATGCTCAAGGTAGTGCTGCATATAGGTTTATGTCGTTAAATGATAGAACTATATGTGAATCTCGTGATGCTGAATTTTTTGAGCATATCTTTCCATTGAAGAAGCATGTTGATAGAAATGATTGTGATTCATCTGTTGTGAATAATCTGCATAATATTCATGCTAGATCTGTGCCTGTGCTACCTGTGTGTTCCCTGGATACACCAAAACATGTGACTGGGACTAGGAAAGGTAAAAGAAAAAGGAGAGAAACTAGTTTTGGACCGGATTTCTTAACTACCTTCCTGGTTGAACACTCTGATCAAATTGATGAGAGTTTTGTTTCGGTTTTCCTTTTAGAACAAGACCCTAAAACGTACAGTGAGGCAGTAACTTCCATAGATGCTAGCTTTTGGAAAGAAGCCATTAGAAGTGAACTTGACTCAATTATGTGCAATCATACATGGGATCTAGTTGATTTGCCTGAGGGATGTAAACCTATAAACTGTAAGTGGATATTTAAGAGGAAACTGAGACCTAACGGAACTATTGAAAAGTTCAAAGCTAGGTTAGTTGTAGTTGGTTACACCCAAAAGAAAGGCATTGATTATTTCGACACTTATTCTCCTGTAACTAAAATTGCAACCATCAGATCTCTTGTCGCCCTAGCAGCTATTAATGACCTTGTTGTACATCAACTGGATGTTAAAACAACTTTTCTGAATGGTGACTTAGAAGAAGAAATATATATGAGACAACCCGAGGGTCATGTAGTGCCTGGACAGGAGAATAAAGTGTGTAAACTGAAGAGGTCCCTATATGGATTAAAACAAGCACCCAAGCAGTGGTATGAAAAATTTAATAATACTGTGGTAGGGAATGGGTTTACAGTGAATGCATCTGATTCATGTGTTTATTCAAAAATGTTTGGACCACATTGTGTGATAATTTGTCTTTACGTTGATGATATGCTTATATTTGGTACGAACGAGGATGTAGTAACTAAAACCAAACATTTCTTGTCCTCTCATTTTGAAATGAAAGACCTGGGAAACGTTGATTTAATTCTTGGTGTTAAGTTAACCAGGACTGAGAATGGCTTTTCTATGTGTCAGTCTCATTATATCGAGAAGTTGCTGGAAAAATTTAACTATTTTGATGTAACACCTGTGAGAACTCCCTATGATCCTAGCACTTCATTGAAAAAGAATGAAGGTTCTAGTATCTCACAAGAAGAATATGCTAAAATATTAGGAAGTGTTATGTTTCTCATGAACTACACTAGACCTGACATAGCATATGCAGTTAGTAGACTCAGTCGTTATACTCATAATCCAAGCTATGAACACTGGAATGCTCTTCATAGATTACTCAAGTACTTGAAAGGTACAATGAATTGGTGTTTGCACTTTAATAAATTTCCTCCTGTTTTGGAAGGTTTTTGTGATGCAAATTGGGTTACTGACAATGATGAAGTTAGCTCCACTAGTGGCTATGTCTTTACTCTTGGTGCAGGGGCTGTCTCATGGAAGTCTGCTAAACAAACATGTATAGCATGTTCTACCATGGAGGCTGAATTCATTGCCCTGGAGTTAGCAGGCCAAGAGGCAGAATGGTTGTGGAATCTGTTAGCCGACATTCCACTGTGGGGAAATAAGTGTGTTCCTGTTCCACTACACTGTGACTCACAAGCTGCCATCAGTGTTGCGATGAGCAGTGTCTACAATGGGAAAAGAAGACATATTCGCATCAGACATGCTTCTCTTAAGCTACTAATTAAAAACAGCGTCATTTCCTTGGATTATGTGAAATCGGAAAGGAATTTGGCAGATCCTCTCACTAAAGGACTTGCTAGGAAGCTTGTTCTTGAATCATCAAAGGGGATGGGGCTGATGTTCATGGACTGAAGCTATGCAGTGGATACTTTTGTGATGAAATAAAGCTACATAGTCCTTCCTTGCACTCCTATTTGTTTGATGGCGTGTGATAGTATTTGTGTGGAAGGTGAGATTTAAAACTATTTTATTATTTAATAATTATGTGGATTCTTGAACGGTCCTAACGAGAAGGTCGTACTAGATTCACTACCTGCTTTGGATTCATAGCCCGTTTAGGGTGGTCCTTGTGAGACGGACTTGATGAATACCATATTGTGGAGGCTAGACTTGTTGGTCCTTAATGGTTTCATATCCCATTCTTGGGAGGTCTATGTTGAGATAGACTTGATGAACCACCTACGTGAGTGTGAAGGTGGGCCGCCTTCTATGAAAGACATGGGCAGTCTTTTTAGAGCTCTCACTAGACCCGAGGTTTGACGTATGGCCATATAATAGGCGATTTGTGAGAATATCGCGGAACTTATAGACAATAAGGGTATGATATGTGCAGTGGGGGTCTGACACCAGTCTGATCAGTTCAAGAGTCATTCACTGCTCAAACTGTGTGATTACTTCATTGCGCTACGTGTCAATTCAATCGAAAGATATTGGCGCTTAAGTATACAACCCTTCCTTTGCCTGGAACATTGTTCTTAACTAGTAAGCCATTAATGGGGGATTGTTGGAATTTCACTCCCAGTTGCAAGGTAATGGCTCCTAGTTTAGAATTAATTGATGTTTTTTTAATCATTATTTTTCTGTTGCACCCAAGCCTATTTGCGTGGGACTGCTGGGCAGATTTTATCTCTTCCAAACTTGATTATTTACAAAACTTATCTGATTTTGAACAAGTCCCAGCAATTATCTATTCCAATTCCCACTTCCTTATTTTTAGGCTTTCTTCTCTCTGAGTTTAGTAAAGCACGATTGAGTTTTCTGGCTATAAAAGGAAGACATCTTGATGAATTCATACACAGAAAAAAGGATCCCTATCCTTGCTTTCTAAAATATTCTTTGATCTTAACAAAAGTTTCCAGGCAATTGTAGTGTGTGAGTTCCAAGTCTTTTCAGACGAGTGCACGTCTGCGAAGGCTGGTTGCGTTAACCTTGGGGAGCGAACCGCAACAGTCGATTGCACCCCGGTCGTGCCGGATTTCACTTTCAAGGCAGTGACTCTTCTTACCACGGCGCAATTTCTTATAATCTTCCGATAAGTATTTTCTGTTCAGTTTACTTTCAGTCATTCATTTTTCTTACACCCATAAGGTACCATACCTTTGTCCACATGGACCAATAGAAATGATGCAGTTGAATTAATTAAATCTAAATGAAAAGGAATAGAATAATTTGGACCAATCAAATGCATGGTAGGCACGGTACCCCTATCTTTAAAAGGGTACCGGAGTTGTCACCTTGGAATAATGGAAACGTCGAAATGAGTACATAGTACATACTAACAATAAGAATTCATGATGTCACTTACAAGACTCGGAGTGTGGGTATTGTGATAAAAGTCCCGGGAACAATGCCGCTGAATTTATTGTTTTGGAGCATCCTGCGAATACCACCAAAATAAACAAATTAAAGAGCTACTACCTCCATCTGATTTATATTGGGACGGACGGAAGAGGGTGACACGATTATTAAGAAAAGTGGGTTTGTGTGGTTGATATTAATTGATAAAGTAAGAATAAAGTAAGAATGATTTAGAGCCACGCAAACTTTGCCAAATATGGTATGTGACAATTTAAGTGGGACTTCCCGAAAAGGTAAAACGGGACAATATAAATGAGATGGAGGGAGTAGCTAGTTGTCTTTAACTACTAGAACCTAAGGCCATTTGGAGTGGTATAGTATTAGGAGTCCAAAATGTTAAAGATGGAACTTTTGGACTCCTAATTTCATGTAGTGGTAGGCTAAATAGGGTATTAAAAATGGAAGAGGGGATGCCTGTTAGAAATAAAGGGTGAGTTAGTAGGAGTGGAAAAAAGAAAAAGAAAAGAAATAGGGTAGATTTAATTCTTGGTGTTAAGTTAACTACAATATTTCAAAGGATGTGGAACTTACTCGTTCCTTTCCTAAACTGAAATGCATGTATTAAGTGCAAATGTCAGTTACAAAAGATGACAAAAGAAAGTTACAAGATTGCCCTTGGTTAATGATTCGATCATCTCAGCACAATTTGTTATTTGGATGGTATAGATTTGTTCTCACTTCTCACATTAAGGCTTGTTCTCATTTGAACCAATATATATATATATATATATATATATATATATATATATATATATATATATATATATATATATATATATCGGGGAAGGTTCAGGTGAGAATGGTGTCCCAGGAGAGAAATGAGAATAAAATCTAACCATCAAATACATAACATCAATGGTCAAGATTACGCATAAATGAGTGATGGTAATTTGTAATTAAATCGAACTTGTATGGCAATTCTAATCATATTACTAACCGTATTAATGGTGAGGACAAGTTAGTAAATTACTAATTAAAATAAAAGAAGTCGTGCCCACTAAATATAATAGTCATTAAATGCTTTCTTTTTCTCAATTCCATTCTACGTACGGGAAGTTCGGAAACTACCACCCTAAAACTTTGGCCCATTAAATTACTTTCCATTAAAAAAACTCTTTAATTTATGTTTAAATAGTGCTACGATGATAAATTAGCTTAATTAGTTTACTAAAGGTTTGATAAATGCACTTTAGGTATTTAGTTGGTGCAAAATTATTTATATAGCTTTGCATTTCATTTATCATTTACTTCTTTCTTATTTACACTTTCTATATCATTAATCATGTGCACTTTATCCTTGAATTTGTGCACATGTATACAAATGAATTTGTGCATTTTGAATATGTGTAAATGTGCACTATAACACCGGAGTTACATTAGCACTCTTTTACAAAATGAATGCACTTTTCTCATGTGCATTATAAATACGAACAAAAGTGCACTATTATATCACACTTTTCTAAAATAAAGTGCATTATTTTCACTTAGTTAGTGCATTATTCTTTTCGACACGATGCAATAGAAATTGTCATTAAAAACTTACCCATCATAATATTTATAATGCAAATAAAAATGGGTGAATGAAAAATTGTCCAAAAAACAGCAGATAAAAGAAAAACTAATGTTCCGTTATTAATTTTACTCCCATAAATAAAAATGTATCGTTAAATTATTTTTATTTAAATTATTATGCCTATGAATAAAATATAAATTATGAAATAATAAATTAATACTCTAGATAATAGAAATTGCTAGGAGTATACGTAGTATTAATATAATATACTGATGATATACATACTCTCTCACAATTAAGGAAAGCATTAAATGAAGAGCAACAAAAAAGTAGGAGAAACAACTTTTAGATGCCGTTTAAAAAAGTGTCCAAAGTGAAATCACAAAACAGTCCTCACGGTTAGCCTATAATTATCTTTGTAAGTGGTTTGATCTAATGGTGGGAATTCTTTCTCATTTCTCTCCTAAGATTATTTTCTCACTTGAACACACACACACACACATATATATATATATATATATATATATATATATATATATATATATATATATATATATATATATATATAGAAAGTAGAGAAAACTTCATGTCAGGCCGGCCTGACGGGCTGCCCCGTCCGGCCGAGCCCGTTTGGGCACCTTCCCGGTGGAATTTTTTGATGAAATTTTTTGAGCATGTTCCTCATCAAGTCTAGTTTGTCCATACCAAATTTCAGCTCAAAATTCGATCGGGAAGGTCGTCAAATGATTTTTGCAAGTTAACTGGTCCGGAATATGTATTTTCCGGACCAGTTAACTTGCAAAAATCATTTGACGACCTTCCCGATCGAATTTTGAGCTGAAATTTGGTATGGACAAACTAGACTTGATGAGGAACATGCTCAAAAAATTTCATCAAAAAATTCCACCGGGAAGGTGCCCAAACAGGCTCGGCCGGACGGGGCAGCCCGTCAGGCCGGCCTGATGAGAAGAGTACTCTATATATATATATATATATATATATATATGTATATATATATATATATATATATATATATATATATATACCTGGAACCATTTTTATTCTCGAGATATTTTGTATAACATGATCGATATTGACACAATAAACTAGTCTACGAAAAGAAATAAGTTTATTACAGATATAGAAGTATAGTTGGGAAAATGCTATTATTATATTAAATGAGAAATAGTTAATTGTTAGATTAGTGAGTTGATTAGATAGATATAACTACATAGTTAAATTGTAAGTAGTAATATTGTATGATGAAGTGACTCGAATGTTCAACTAAACATAAAAAAAGTGAATTATTTCATTGTCATTATGTTTAATTTTTTATTCAAAATTAAACATGAAAAACCAATATAATGCAGCAATATTTTATAAGAAAATCTTCGTATATACTCCGTAACATTTTACTCTTTTGGTCCTCTTACTCGGACACATATTCATTTCATTTATAAATTTTACCTTTTGTGACTGGTCTAACAATTCTAAATTAAATCAGAGTGTTATTTGCAAATAAATAACATAATTGACTACTCAATTAAAAAAAGTGTATTCCAAATAATTAAAAAATATTTTTCCTAATACTCCCTCCGTTCCAAAATTATTGTCCCGCTTTCCTTTTCGGTCCATCCCAAAATTATTGTCCCGTTTCTTTAACTTTCTTATTTGGTAAACAAATCTATACTAAACAGTGTCAAACAGTGCAAAACAGTATCAAACAGTGTCGCTACTGTGCCAAACAGTGTCGCTACTGTGCCAAACAGTGTCGCCACAGTGCCATTTTCTTAATCTGTGTGAAAAATCAAACGAGTCAATAATTTTGAGACGGAGGGAGTAGTATTTTTTTTTTACGGAGGGAGTAGTATTTATAAACTCTATCGAATTACTAAAATTATTATTGAA